AATGTGATTGGGTTACGAACTAGATAAGGAACCTCTTCATGTGATCCTTTAGTGTCAATTACCGTATGAGAACGAAGGCTAGCACCGAGTGATTATGTTATGCAAAGTAGCTCTACTTGAGACGGGGACTAAAGTACAATGTATCTCTACTTGAGACTGAGACTAGAGTACGTAAAATCCCTTTATATTTTTTAACCATGTGCCTACATGGGATGTGACCTAGTTCTACCTTTGACAAGTAGAACACCCTCATGGAGTATGTTAGAACTCCAGATACCATGTCTAGCTATCACGGTCTATATCTGTTATTGTGTATTCTCATCATATGGGATACCTACTAGCATTAGAGGAGTTCTATGAAGTTCAGGTGTTGGTAAAGAATTCTATCTAGACATTGCACAATAGGCTTTTAAGGTGTTAGTTAGAGTCCTTAGGTCTTGTCCAAGACCATTACTTGAATTTCCTTTTGTCATGAATGAGTATCAAATTAATTAATAAATGACTTACGTTAAGAGAGTATGTTAAATCATTAAGTACTTATATGGAGTAGTTAAGGGTTGTTTAGTTTGAAGGGGGCATTGGAATGGTCACTTAGTATTTTCCCTAGATAAATCTTAAGAATGACTCTAGTTAGGGAGGATGTTGATTATGTGGACATGATCTATGCCTTTGGTAGTATTAAGGATTATTTAGGTAATCTTGAAGAGGTCAATCATGGACGTTATTTTCTTGATTAACTTAAGTAAGTCTTTTGATAGCCTTTGGAAGGAGAACGTCATATTATCTATATATTGATGTATTAATTGAGAATGATTCTATTTTAGGTAGTCTATAGGATCTCTTAAGTGTGTGTGAAGAGATTGTATGGCCGGTAGCTTCACAACTCACTCAAGTGAGACATAGAATCACCTTTGGTAGAAGAAGCTCATGTTCATAAGTGTGATGTATCTAGGTGTGTGTTGATCTCATTATATGTGGTCTTAAGGATCATTTAGGTATTTCTAGAGAGGTTGTATGGGCGGTGTCTCTTAATCTTACTTAAGTGAGTCTTAGGATATGTTTTAGTGAGGATATTTCATGCTAGAATGTCTCTTAAGTGGATCTAAAGAAACTTAACTATAACAGTGAAGGGGTTCACTGTACAGTGAAGTGGGTTACTATAATGTGGCTCCTAAAAATGTGATATATAGTGTAAATGTTATCTTATGTGTCTCTAAGGTACTAAATGTTATTCTTAGTATTTTGATATGATATTTAAATTAAAAAAAATGCATATTTCCAATAAATGTTCATTTTTATAATTTTATGCATTATGTCATAATTAGTACAACTGTATTTTCTAAGTCCATATATTTTGTTATCTCTAAAGGTGTAGGTGATAGGTGAGAAGGATCGTGAAGGAGATCTTGGATTCTAGAGTCATTCAAGCAAAGTTGGAGTATGTGCTCAATTCACTCGAGGGCATATATAGACGTCGTTTATGTGTTTTATTGAAGTATTGTAATAGGCTAAGTATTTATATATTGGTATTCTTGTGTCTAAGATTTGATGAAATGAGACTTAGTATTTCCTATGATTTTATATGAAAGAGGTTTTAAAATATTTTTAGAATGTTTGTGAAAAGTTTTAATTCCGCACTACTTTTCATATGTTTTATATGCGATGAACGATACAAAATGGTTTGTACATAACCTTCCAGAGGTCAAGTACACCGTCTGCTCCTCGAGAGTGCCATATCTTCTAGGTATGGTCTCAGGATGTTATATTTGGGGAAGAGAGACTAGAGAGAAGTTAGAGGGATGTGTGTATTTTGGGAATTGTGGGTTGTTGTGTAAGTTTAATGGGGGTAAGGCCTTTTATACTCACTTAGCAAACATAATTAAACATCCCTCAACCCCTAATTGAACCCCTAATAAACTAGCTAACTAAGTGAATTAACCGATATTTATGCAGCTTACACGGACTCAATCGATGAGACCCCGACGCACGGACCGTTGTTTAGTCAACCGCCTGTGTAGGTCATCCGCCAATGATTTAAGAGACCTGATTTTTAGGGATTTAAGAAAATTGGATAACCAATCACCTAAAGAGACATCAATGCCTCGTCGACAAGATGACGACTCATTGATTGGTCTCATAGGTGACACTCAAAGACCCTTAGGGTAGTCCTTGGTGAGTGGCACCTAAAATTTTATACCCTAAACATATTATAATACATGTTTAACACGTTTCTACAAAATTTCATTGAATTTTGACTTTTAAAACACCATGAAACATACCAAGTTACACTAACCTCTATTTCAGAATTCTCAAGACGTCATGGATGTTCTTTGACGTTTTTACTCTTAAGTTTTGTAAATGATTTATTTACATTATTTTTTGTCATAAAATAGTGTTCTAAGTCTTTGTTCAATATGTGAGGCTCTAGATTAGTTTTTAGATTTTCAGAGTGTTACACTTGAATAATTTGGATGAGGTGCTCAAAAGATGTAAAGATGTAATTTGATGCTACATTGGGATAAATGTCACTTTATTGTGAAAGAGGGCATAGTGTTGGGACATCGAATCTCAGAGAAGGGAATAAAGGTTGACCGAGCAAAAGTTAAGATGATAGAGAAGTTTCCTCCACCCATCTCTTTTAAGGGTGTGAGAAGTTATCTTAGGCATGTTGGCATTTATCGGGTTTCATTATGTTTTTTCAAAAATTGCACATATTTTTTTTAAACTGCTTAAGAAAGAAACCAATTTACATTTAGATGAGTCCTGTCTAAAAGCATTTGAAGAGTTGAAAGAGAATCTAGTGTGTGTGCCCATTATTATTTCATTAGATTGGAGTGAGCCATTTGAGGTGATGTGTGACAGCGAGTGGTATTGCACTTGTTATGATATTGGGATAGAAAAAGGAGAAAATCCTTCACCCCATCTACTATGCGAGTAACACCTTGAATGAAGACCAAAATAATTGAACTCTAATTGAACATGAACTTCTTGAGGTGTTGTTTGCATGCGAGAAATTTCTCTCCTATCTGCATGGAACGAGATTCTTAGTGCATACCGACCATTCTTCTTTGAGGTATTTCAATCCAAGGTTGATCAGATAGATATTGTTCCTGCAAGAGAGGTCAAATATAGCAAGCGGACTTAAAACCAAGTGGCCAACAACTTTTCTAGATTGGTGGATAAAACGATGCGTTATTTTTGAGAAAAGGCTAAAATTGGTGATGCTTTCCCATATGAACATGTATTAGCTACTTCTCACGATCTGATCCAATGATTCGCATACATTGCGAACTATTTAGAAAGTGATTTTGTCCCTTCAGATTTGACCTTCCACAAAATAAGAATCATGCATGATGTGAAGAAGTTCTTTTGGGATGAGCCTTATATCTATCAAAGCTATGCCGATGTTATTATTCATCATTGTGTACCTGATAGATGTTGAGTGTTAGTGAGGCATGTCATTCCTCTCCTGTGGGTGGAGACCATAGTGGTATCCGAACTGCGCATAAAATCTTTCAGTGTGGGTATTATTGACCCACCATCCACAAAGATGCTCACGATTTCCCTAAATCTTGGAAAATGGTATCATGAGTGTTATTTACATTTGTATGTTTAAATATACAACTTGATACTCTTTGTATATTGTTTACATTACTTAAGGATTTTGTTTTACTTATGTTGTCCTTGAATTAAGAATGGTAACTTGGTGAATCTAAGGGCTATGGACTTATAGTTTTTGCACCACTAAGCTATTTGCTTAGCGATAGTTGTTTCTATCGTAGGCGATGTTCGAGAGGAATCTTGAAGTTTACCATTGAAGATGGATATTTTGAAAGATTTAAGGTAGATCATACTTGCATATATGCATATATATTTTGTATAAACCTCGGGACTTGTACATGATCTATGTGTTGTATATTTACATTAAATTTTTAGGGCTTGTTTTGTCATGTCACTATGTGTTATAATATAAGCATGGCTATACGTTTTTATCTTATTGGGATGTGTAAACCCAAGTCTTGTAATATACTAAGTTACTATATGTTTGTGAGTTTGTGTGAAGCAATTAACATGTTTATTTCCTACTCCAAAGTTGGTTGTATTTTGGTTATTTTGTCCTTAAGTGTAAGGATAATATAAAAATTAAAAGCCCGATGTTATTTTCTTAGCAAATTTTCGGAGGGTTTTTCATCATAAGTTTATGTTTTGGGCAATAAAAATTTTAACCTAAAATAAATATCTAAATGGGCAAGATGAAATTTTTTAATTAAATTATTCTCTATGAACCTAATACCTCAACTAGATTAAAATAAGTATGCCCTTCGTTAATGTCTTTTAACTTTCGTAAGTATTAAATTTGGTTTGATGACATGTTATAGTATCTCTCGGAAAGGATCGATATAATGTCATCCCTTGTTTGTAAGTCGGTCTAACATCGGATACATGAAAGTCATGGGGAAATGTTCATTTTGAGTCTAAGCATTCAACTTCCATTAGTCCATGCAAACTCTCCAACCAATCACTGGTCATATCGGAACAATCTCGATCCTTTCATTAGTTACTGAAGTCATACCACCATTTTTAGGCACACACTGAACATTACACACCCAACTACTATTAGCAATAGGATAAATGACTCTAGCATCAAACAACTTGATGATCTCCTTCTTGCATATATGGTTTAAACCTTCTTTGGTGCTCAATACTTGATTTGTGATCTAGCATGAGTTGGATTTTATGGGAACAAATACCTAGAAGGATCCAAATAATATCTGCAATAGTCCAACTAATGGCTCGTTTGAAACTCTTTAACACCACCAATAAGCACTCTACCTATTGCCTGTTCAACTCTAATGCAATAATCACCAGCAAATGGTCATCTCTACCCAAGAAAACATACCTTAGATGAGGTGGTAGAGCCTTAAGCTCTAATTTTTGGGCCTCTACAATAGATGGTCTCGTAAGTGGAGACTCGCGATGCTTCATATACAACTCCAATTTCATTGGCTTTGATCGATAAGTGTAGCCATAAAATAATCACACTCTTCAATACCATCACCGTCAAAATTCAGGATTACTGCTTCTAATGCCTCACCGAGTTTCTCTTTAATTGGCACTTCCATTACACTCTCAATTTTGTAGGATATATAAGATAACGTTTGGAGCTCACCACTCCGCTTCATGGACCTAAAGATATTAAAAGTTCCTTCCTCATTGTTCAATAACTTTAATCAACCTTTTTTCCATATCACCTAGTGCACGCCCAGTGGCAAGGAATGGTCTCTCAAGAATAAAAGGAACCTCAAAATCAACCTCAAATTCAAGAATGACAAAATCATCTAGAAAAATGACAACTCGACATTCACGAACACATATGGAGTATACCTATAGGCCTCTTCATTCGATCGACCATCAATAACCGCATCGTACTAGGAGTTGGGTCTCCCAAATCAAACTTCATATAAATAAACAATGGCTTGAGATTTATGCTTGCTCCAAGATCATACAACGCCTTATCAAAGTGTAGCAACCCTATAGTACATGGAATAGTTAAGGCTCCCCAATTCTCCTTCTTCTGCAAAAGAGACATTAAACCAATAGCACTACAATGTTGCATTCTGCCATCATCCTCAAAACTCATCGACTTGTTTTTTGTCATTATGTCCTTCATAGACATTGTAGGATGATGGAATGTTGTTTTACAATAGTGATAAATCACCAATATTTACCATCTTCCGTTTCATTTACTAATCTTTGTGGGAATGGTGGCGGAGGTCTAGGTATTGGGACCACTTTCTTATATAATTCTATTTCTTTTGTTGTTGAATCCTCCAAATCTCCACTAACTTCGGCTACATCATTTTCCTTTCTCACATAACCTTCTACTACACTTGACATAGGTGGATGGATTGTCTACTTAGCTACTCGAGTTGTGAATTCCATGAAATGACCATTATTCTTTAGACATTTTATAGTGTTGCTTGGGAGAGTGCCAGGTTTGCATGGGTTTACAGTAGTAGACAACTGATACATATGTAGCGTAAGGTTCTTTATCGAGAACACATGTGCATCTATCTTTTTTCCAATGCCTGATATGCCACTTATCCTTTCCTTGATATTCTCATCATTTTCATCAAATCTCATAATCATTTTCTATAGAATATCCTCAACCCGTGCCATACCACAACCACCATCCCTAGATACAATTTCCTTATCTTTAGGTGAAACATATGGACAATCTCGTTCATTCCTGCTGCTTTAGTTGTTCCGGTTGATGTTGTTGTCGCGATTGTAGTTCCAATCTCGGACATATTGACCCTCTTGGTTGTAATTACCATTGTTCGGACCTTGGTTTCCTTGACCTTGGAGGCAATTATCCTTATTGGAACCTTGAGTGTTTGGTCGAAAATTTGCCATCTAATAATTAATGGCATATGTATCCTCCACATAGTAATACTCATTAGCTGGTGGAATTGGTTTTGCCAAATAGTTCACCGCATTAATCTTCTATGCGCCTCCACTCACATTTTTCAAGACCAAACCTAATTTCATTCTCATTTGCAACATCTCTTCTTGAATATCATCTATGGATGAGTTAGTTTAGACTATACCACGAAGGTAATCGCCCAGTGTCCAACTTTCTAGTGCTACAAGCTATATTGTTGTGAGATATCTTTTCCAAGTTCTCTGTAATTCAGCATATGTGCATATCCCATAAGATCCACAAATAATAATATTGAGCACCATTTCGTTGTTGTCATCTTGACCTTTATAAAAGTACTCCTTTAGCGACTAATCATCAATGCGATGAATTGGGACACCCCTTATAAATGTACTAAATCTTTCCTTAAAGATAATCACACATTCCCCAAGTTCCACAAATTTATTTAACTCATCCTTGTGGTTCAGCTTCATGGAAACTTGATAGTATCTTTCTAAGAACAGATCTCTAAACTGATCCCAAGTACAAATAGAGTTATAGGGCAGCTTAGTGGACCATATAGCAGCATCTCCTATTAGTGATAAAGGAAACACTCATAGCCCGATAACATTAAGATCCAATTCTTGTCTACCCACATTACTTTTGCACACTGATCTTAGCTTGGTTATGTATGCATGTTGGTCTTCCGATGGCAGTCCCAAAAACAAGGTCCTCACGATGAGCATTTGTATCAAGATACTCACCACCACGAAAGTGTTTCCATAAGGAAGTGGGGGTACGATAAGAGGTCCATCCAAGTCTCCAATGTTCTCTTTACCCCTGTAGTAATGTTGAAGTCCTGGGGTTGTTGGAGGTTGTACCCTCAAGGCATCACCTAACTAATTCTCAATATATGTTTGGTTGTGTGCTTGAACTGGTAATGGAGGCTGATTTCCTGCTCCCTCAACTAGATTTCAACTTCTAGGGTTAAGTAGAACCCCTTGGTTCTGTATTCTTCTCAAAGATCAATTTAGTTCAGGATAGTATGAAGTGAGTGTTTCCCCTCAGCTTTGTGTACTTGGGATACACTAGAGCTAGACATGAGACAAACAAAAAGAAAAAGAAAAAGTAAAATCAGGAAATAGTTGGCTAAATATCAATAATGTAATTAAAATTAATTTAAAAGGCAGATTCCATGGGAGAGGCGCCAAAATTTTATACGCTAAAATTTTTCCTCCCAAAAGAACCATAAGCTATAGTTATCAATTAGAGAACAGAAATAGTAGGTTGGGCTCGATCCCATGAGGAAAATATTTTTAGACTTAACTTTAACTCACGATTATATCTATTTAGTCAAGTTCTTTCCAAAGAAAGTAAGTAGGGGAGGGGGGTTGTGAAACAAATTCCATTAACAATGTAATTTTAAGTTGAACAAAAATAAACTTTTGTTTTATCAAGATGAGAAAGTAACTGGGTATATGTGTTCCCCAAAACTTCATAACACAATATTCCTAGAAATAGCAATCCTTTGCTAGTGTATTACATGCAATGTAATAAGTTAGGCATCTCTAAATCCTTGGTTTGACATCTAGAGAATTTTACCCCGCACCTTGGACAAACAACGTGTATATAATTTGCTAACCCTTACCATTACCTCATATTAGACATTATAGTCGATGTATGACTTAGTTATATTTTGCACCAATCCACACTAGTTTTAGATAGTATCACACTAAATATATGTTGATAATCATTTTCTTATGAGCTACCGCCTTGGTCCAGAAAGTAGGAACAAGGCGAGTTCTAACATTGAACACCGTTAAAAATACTTATAAACGAAAGAATTATCAATGCATGCACAATGTTATTCAAGAATTTCTTAATTACTAGGATTACTTTGTTTATTACCCATGGTCCCACAACCTTGTTGTGGATTTATTAACTCATGCTAGGAAGATGACAATTCGTAGTTTTAGATGAACAAATCATGAACTTACATAACAAGAAGAACAAAACCAGAAATCCAACTAGAAATTGCACGAAAAATTCTTTCAAACCAACACTGCAAATTAATTAATTGCTAAAGTTTGCAAAAATCAATCTTCAATCACAAATTAGAAAAAGTACAGTAGTACCTAACCCCAAAAATGAGGTTTGAATACCCTATATATAGAATACGTAGTCCTAAATTAAAATAAAGAAAGTTTTTATCAGGTACGCGGCATCAACCGACGGACGAACTAACGGACCGTCGATCAATAAACTACTTTCGTCAATCAGGACATAGAATTATTTCATCTCTCTTGATGGTAACGTCTTTGAATCAAACTACGAACCAATAATACGGTCCATCGATCCATATACGGGTCGTCGATACTCTTTCATAGCTCCATACTTAGAATCTTCAATAATCAGGTACTAAAACCTTCTCTTAACTAAATGACGGTTCATCAGTACGGTCGATTGAGAATCGTTTCCTCTCGTGGTTCAACGCTTTGTCAGACGTCCCTGATTTTCTTTCAATGTCATGAGATGCTCATCTACAATCACACATAAGGTCTGTTGATTTGAATGATGGACCGTCAATTGCCTTTGTAGTTCTAGTTCTACACTATTTTTCAGTTTTTTCTTCACTTGCAACCTGAACATCTTCCCTGCAAAACAAGATACAGAACTTATTAAAATTACAAGAAAACAGCTCCTGAAACACACAACTTTTTAGTGAAATGCATTAGAAATGTCGTGAAATCATGCTAAATCATTCAATCGGAAGATCAACCAAATTTAGGCAAAAACTATAAATGCCAATAGAATTGATTGGTCAAGAACGCTAGGTAATGAAGAGATTGAACATTGATTGGAGCGGAGCATTAGAATAAAGGCTAATGTGTTCAACGTTCTTGATGAGTTCTACCTCAAAGCCTATGAAATTTTATCCATCTACAAAGAGAAGATGAAGAAGTATTATGATTAAAGAATTTAAAAGCGAGAATTTTTGGTTTGTGATCATGTGCTTCTATTCAACTCTAGGTTGCATTTTTTTTTAGAAAACTGAACTCCAAAGGGACAAGGCCATTCATCATCATTAAAGTGTTTCAAAATGGATCATTTTAATTAATGAACAAGGAAGGCACTAAGTTTACAGTCAATGGACAAGATAAATACCTTTATGGGGCATGCAGATAGTGCTCATGAAGTGGTTGAGGCAAATCATTTTGATGAAGTCTAAATAATCAAGAGGCATGTGTTGTGTCGTGACGTTAAATCAAGCACATTTTTGGAGACAACCAAAGGTGTAACCTCTAGCCAACTATAAGTTTTATTTTCCATGAAGAAATAGTCATTGTGTTATCTAGTTGTTTTAATTGTGTAAATTTGTTTGTTTGTGTGCTAGTGTTAGATAGAGATTAATATAGGTTCCATGCCTAAAAAGTGTCCAAAAAAATAGAAAATGAATGGCCTAATCGGTGTCACATGTGCAAGAGGCAAAAAATAAAAAATCTATAGAAAAAGGTCTAGTGTAGGGGTCTACATACCCCATCAATAATCTGTCGTTCCATCGATGGACCATCAATAGGGTTCGTATATCCCACGTATGTTTTAAAAATTTTCTAAGTATAAATCTGACCGACGATCCTATTTGACGGACCGTCGATATATCCACATACTTTCCGCAGAGTCTCGTAGATCCATAGGGCCAGTGAATTGACCCAACTTGACAGTTATATTAAAAACCCAACCTTTCAAATTCTTTCCCTCTTTCCATTTTCTTGCAAATTCCTTGCCATAATCGTTTCACCTCATCAAAATTCTCCCTAAATCACTCCCGAATTGGATATCCTATCTCCCAAAAGCATTTGTCCCCTCATTTTCTCAAAATCCCAAAAATTCTCTCTCTCAAATTATCTCTTACTCCATACTCCAAATTCCTGTGATTGGGTTTGGAAAGCGTTGGCTACTTATTTAGGGTTGCATATCACTAAAGGAACACAACCACAACTATCTTCACTACTTGAAAGGTATTTCAATTTACCTCACTTTGAATTCTCATTCATAGTTGACTATAAGGAGTCGGGAGTGGGTCTTGACCATTGGGACTAAATTGATTCACTTGGCATGCTTAAAGATGCGTAGTTATATACCATAGGATTATATACAATGGCTGTGTAGCAAAGTTTACAACCCAAACAATTGTGTGTTTAAGTCTCCATGTTGGTTCCAACCTAGGGTTCATTTTTTTTACTGAATTTGGTTTG